ATGTATATAAAGTACAGAAAAGGAAAAACTAAAAAGAAAAAATATCCTCCACTGAGGTAACCACTGCTAATATTATATTCAAGTTGTTCATGCTTAAATATACTTGTACATATAACACACTGCTTTAAAACCTTTTATTGACTTAATATTTGATGGATACCTTTTCATGTCAATAAATATACTTCTATACATTGACTGAATAAAAGTGCATTGTACAGACATATTGAAGTCTTGGTAGACAGTTAGATTACTTTTATTTTTTTTAGAAGTATAATAATACTTGTGGCTAATAATATTTCTATGTAAAAATAGAATAAATTACAAGGAATGAAAATTCTGGTTTGAAGGATATGGTTATCCTAACTTTTGTCATTCTGACATTAACATTTTAACAGTTTATTATGAAACAACCCTAGTCTACAGACTGGAATTTTTAAGCCTCTGATTTAGGACATTCTAATAAAATTAAATACATTTTAATTAAATATACAATAAAGTGTAAATTAATTCGTGTTTTCACTATGCCTTATTCTCTTCTTTCTAACTGCAGTAAATAAAATTACATACATTTCTGTATAAACTCAGTTTCTCTGAAACAGTCACGAACCCAGAATGGCCCTTAAATGAGTGAGATACAAACAGAATGCACAGTTCCTCTTCATTAAATAGAGGAACAGCCATTTCCCAAAGACATCCCCTAACCATGAGTCAACGCATTCCTTCTTTCCTTTCTCTCTTTTTATTAAAATAAGCTTCCTTATCTTTTAAGCTTTACTTCCTGAAGTGATCAGTCCCAATATGCCCCCTGGAGAGGGGAGCTGAAATAGAAATTAAACAGTAGTACATGGAAGAAAATAATCATCTGTTTAAAAAAATTTTACACTGAATTCCATTGAATTATTCAAGATACTTAGGACTCTATTTACATTTACATTAGAAATCCTTGGGAATACATTATTGGGTCATCCTTTCTTTCTCCTTTTTTCTTTTTGGAGGAAGAGTTTTTCCATAGATATTTGGGTCCCTATTATGTCCCAGACACTTTTTAAAGCATTTTTAATATATAAATGAATGAAACAGATTAAAGTGTGTTTAATAGTGCTCATATATCAAATTACAACCAACAGAACTGTATCATCACACATCATAGTTTGTGTTATTACATTCTGTTGTTTCCTATTATTATTATATTTTTCAAATCTCTTGGCTAACCCCAAATAAACAAGTCTTCCAGTCTTTCCATAGAGCATGACTTTAAGTTCTTCCTGTTATCTCTACCTATATACTCAATGACTCTGCTAGGGTTAAGCATTAAACTGTTCTACTCAGTGTATTACTCAATGAAAGA